TCCAGCGGCTTTGCTGGACCCCCCCAGCAGACCAGGGAGACCGGGAGAAGCTTTTCTCGCCCCGGAGGACACGGGTGGCGACCTGCCGCCCGTGAGCTCTGGGGTGAGAAAAGCCCCGTTCGTAAGTGCGGATCCGACATAAGTCAGATCCGCGTAAGTCGGGGACTGCCTGTATACACAAAGATATACTATATATGTGTGTTCATGCATACATATATGTAATTCAGCAAATTAAAAATTGGTGAATTTTTTTTAAGCTCTTCATTTGAAATGTGACTTTTTGCATTTTCATTATACAGGGAAGTAAGACAGACACAGGTGCACTGGACATTTCAGAGAGGGAACATTAAAAATGGACACACACAGTAGTATTTATTCCAATCCATGCAAAGATTTTATTTTTTACTGGTGAACTCAGAGAAAATGTTAAGTGCTAACCACAACTTGTAAACAAACCCCTTTCTCTCATACATACACACAACATGAACAATGAGACTTTTGCACATAGAATCTGACTGCCCTGGGACTATTATTTATCTTCAAAAATGTGAATGTCAAATCTGTGGTTTTGAGGTAAGCTAAATGGAAAATGCCAGCTTGGGTAGACCTAATCAGGATGCGGTTTGTTTGAATTGTAGATGGTATTTGCAATATAAGTTAAGTACTGTAATATAAAATTATGCATAAAGGGACAAATTTGATGTCCCTGCTCTGTTTTTACTTCATCCTTATTCATATCCTGAAGCCAATGAAGCTGTGTACAATCTTAGGAAAGGTTCGTATAATCTGATCGTCTGACTTTGTAAGAGGAATTTTGTCTGACTTGGATACTAGGTGGGCCAGGTTCTGAAGTTCTAAGTCAAGCCTTCTTTTTGTCTGTAGCAATGCAATAGAATTACATTACAGATTATTTGTTCAGAGCTTTGAAAACATACAGAGAATGTGTTCCTCATTCCACAGTTATTACTGTTATTAGCTTGTTCAGCAGCACAGCATAAAACTTTTCCCTCAAATCTGTTCATAATGATTTTTTTCAGATGCTATTGTCCCAGGTCTACAAGCCCTGCAATTAATTGAGTTTCCATTGGAGTGACAGCCCGCCAAAATGTTTGAAATAAACATGGCACAATTGCAATGCAAAGATACAGGCAAGAGAACAAAGTCTCTAGGGAGAGGGTGGAGCAGAATGGAAATGAGGGATTATAAATGTGGATAGAAGAAAGAAAGAGAGAAAGAAAGCGGGGAGGGGAGAGGGAAGGGGGGAGTAGTGAACAGGAGGCTGCAATCTGGCTTCAGAGTCCTCGGGCCATGAAGTGATACTGAAATAAGTCAATCTGTTGGAATCCATAGAAAATGAGTCCAGTCTGTGAGTGGTGACATGGTCCAGTATTGTGCTCTTGTTAGATACTAAACCAGCAGCAGAAGAAGTTTAAGGTAGAACAAGTCCTGGGAGAAAGCTTCTAAGTAGAAAGAAGCCAGAGGAGAGATGCACACAGAAGGATACTCTTGTTATTAAATTAGTGTCCGAGTGTGCTCTGTCTGCCAGAGTCACCATCCCAGACACAGTGACGGTCAGCCCAGAAGCCTGCATGTTTATTAGGACTATGTCTAGATTGCAAGCTTATTTCGGAAGAAGCTTTTCTGGAAGAGATCTTACGGAAAATCTTATTTTGAAAGAGAGCATCCACACAGCAAAAGCTAAAGGAAAAAGTGAGCTGCGTTTTCGAAAGATAGCATCCACATTGATTGGATGCTATCTCACATTTAAGTTGTGATTAGTATGGACGGAGTGTCCACCAGAGCACCTGTGTTGTTTCCTGGAAGCCTCTTCTTTCAAAAGAACTCCTTCTTCTGCATCCACACACATCTTTTTCTGAAAAAGCTTTTTCGGAAAAAGGCTTCTTCCTTGTAGAAAGAGGTTTACCGCTGTCGGAAAAAACCCTCAGTTCTTTTGACTTTCTGTCGAAAGAACACAATAGCAGTATGGATGTAAGTATAGTTTTTCTGGAAAAATGGCTGTTTTTTCAGAAAAACACTGCAGTGTAGACATACCTATAGCAGCCCACATCCTATACCTGCAGCCCACATCCCTATAGAATCTGAGCATCTCAGATTCATTAAAGAGTTTTATCCTCACAACAACATTGAGAATAGGCATAGGGTGCATTAAATGATTTGCTATAGATTACATGGAAGAGCCCACCTGAGCCAGAAGCTGAACCTCAATCTCTTGAGTCCTCCCAATCTCCTATCTACTATACTAGATCACCCTTCCTCTCCTTCCATTAATAGGGCTTGACAGCTTAGGTGGCTGGCACTCAGCTAAGAACAGCCAGAGCCCATTCAGAGCCCCAAATTTTCCCAAGTTTGAAGGGAAAGGTTATGAGTTTAAGAGAGGAGTTATTTAGCAGCCTCAGACAGGGATGCCACTGATGGGGGCAGTGCCCCTTGGGATAATGGGCATGTTGGCCAATGCGTAGTGAGTACTACAAGTTTAGTTCATGCGCCTGGTGAAAGCATTGTCTTTTTCAACACTGTTGTTTGTCTTCAAGCAGGTGTATTTTGCAATAGACTGAGACAACTTATCCTTTCATAGTCAGTGCAGCAACTGCTCCTTCCTTCACTGTGATGACAAGGATAGATCTCAGCCTTCCTGCCCCAAACCTGCAAGCCCTCTTGGGCCATAGCATGAGCTAAACCAGAGAAGAGTTTCTATATCAAAATGATTTTTTTTGAATGGCTCCTCTGTGCTACTGTGTCAAAGGGTAAGTTGTTGTCTATAGCGTGGTGTTTGTGGTGTGCTTGCTACCACTTGTGCTCTTGACAGTATAGGGCCTATGATATATCATTGGTCAATTCTAATTCCATTCACTAGATGGCAGCAGTACACATACCTAATAGCTAGTTCATCACAGTGTTTTCATTTCACAATGGCATACTACAGTCAATGTCAAATACTAAATACTTTAAAAACTACGAAAAGATCACACTTAACATGCACATACTTACATCTTCAAACTTTACTTTTTACATGAGACCTCATATAACAGAGGTGTGCATTAGCCTCATTTAACTGATGGGGAAGCTTAACCAAGAGAGCTGAATCGGGCATGTCTAAACTGCAGTTTGACACCTGCAGCTGGGTTAAGGTGCTTTTAATTGCTTTGAAGCCTGAGTTCTAGGACATTCTGAGGTGAGAGGATCCCAGAGCTCAGTCTGCAGCCTAAGCTTTATCATTTGCATTGCAATTAAACAGCCCAGCAGCCTGAGCTCCAGCCAAATCAGCTGGCACAGGCCAGCTGTGGATATCTCATTGCAGTGCAGCCATACCCAGTCTATCTTGCTGAAGGTCACAGTACAAAGGCAGTGGAAGAGTGGGGTTAAGTGCCAGAAGCTTATGAATGAGGGTGCGTCTACACAGCAGGGCTTAACTTAAAATAAGCTATGCAAAGTGAGCGACATCAATTGTGTAGCGTGTTTCAAAATAGCTAATTTTGAATTTGGGAATGTCTACACAGCACTTACTTTGAAATAGAGCACTTTTCCTGTGACTTCCCTACTCCTCGTACAAGGAGGGTTACAGGAGGGAGGAGGTTCCATGAGGTTTAACTGGTAATTCGAAGTAAGGTTTTTTTTTTCAGAATCGCCCTTCTCTGCCGCGTGTAGACGTGGGCAGTTATTCCGGGCTAGTCAATTTCCAAAATGGCGACCGCCCAGGAACATGCTAATGAAGCACGGGATATTTAAATCCCGCGCTTCATTTGCAATTTCGGTTGCCCTCATTAGCCTCCCTAGTTCGAACTAGGGGGCTAGTGTAGACAGACCCTTAGGGAGTGAGGTCGGAGTACAGGGACCACTGCCTGGCAAGAGCACTGGATGGACAGAGTGGTTCTCATTATTTAGGGCCCCCCAGTTGGATGGGGCCTCTGGCACAGGCCTCATTGGTCCAGTGGCTAATTTGCCACTCCCGTCTCCACTCTCCCCTAGGTTTGCTTCCTTTAGTCAGGAGGAAGAGGAACTCCATGGGTGAGGAGGGAATGGACAAGTTGGCTGTTGCTCTGGTTAGATGTTTCTCCTACAGATGTTTTATTTTGGACTATACTATGTCACCCTGTGAGGACCTTTGCCCAGACTCTGCAAGTAAACACTAGCTGTA